TGGCTGGTGAAAGATGGCAGACCACAGGGCCCTTAGTTCAGAGTTACTGTCACCTGAAGAGACTCATTCTTTCTCAGTCCCAATTCCAAAATTCCTGGGTGAAAGGCTAGGAAGGGGTTGGCCTAAGCCAAGGTAAGGTGTTCAATCACGCAAATGAGGGCTACAGATGCATCTTCCCCTTGTGTGAGTGTGTGGGCTGGGGGTGGGGGCATGAGGTCAGGGTCACTATGAACCAGCACACATAATGAAATCATCTGTAAGCTGGCAAGCGGGTCCCTCTGGAGAATGATGTTCTCAGAAAATTAGAGGAGGCTCCTTGGACCCCAGCTTCTTCCATCTGGTCCCTATAAGGCACATGTTAGCACTATGGGATTTTTCTCACTTGGGAGATAAATCGTCAAAGAAGGGGCCCTATCAGGTTTTAATCCTTCAGTTCACCTTGATTTTGAGGGTTTGACTGAATGTATTCATGTTTACAGAATCGTGCCACGTTCTTGACTACGGAATAATCAGTGAAATATCTCACGAGTCCTATTATTATCATCACCATTTCAAAAATGTGGAAGAGAGAGAGAGCAAGAGAAGATGGAATTCCAGCCTGGGATCATGCAGCCAGCACATGCCAGAACAGGGATTTCCACCTTCACTTCACTTCTCCATGTCTGTGGTCATAACTGATCGTAAGGGAGCATAGCCGCCAAGTCTCAGGGACGATGATTCATGGTCATTTCCTCCCATGACTTACTATAGCTGTGGGACCTCAGGCACGTCGATTTCTCTGTGCCTCAGTGTCCTATCTGTGAAACAGGATGGCTGAACCACTGCAAGTGGGAGATGAGTTGAGTCTTGTACAAGGCCGGGAGGCACCAGGTAGCTAACATGCATATTATTATGAATATTTCAGAAGTCAGGGAGGGCTTCCAAGGATATGAATTAAATACTGGGGCTTTATTACCTCTCATCAAAAGATGAAAAAGAGGAGAAGGCAAAGAAAATGGTGTGAGATTGAAAACACACCCCTGGCGGGGGGTGGGGGGTGGTCAGGAAAGAGAACTATTTGGCTGGAAGAGGGGATGAGCAGAAATAAAAGTAAAGCTCAGGGCTAAGATGTTGCAGACCCCTGAACAACCAGGAGGGAAGCTGCACTTTGCCCTGAAGGAATCCTGGAGAGGAGACAAGCTGAGCTGGTGATGTGTGTTTTTGAAGACTATTTTAGAAGGGGAGGGAAGAGGCCAAGGGAAGCCAACAACGCCTAGTCTATATGTTATATAGCTTCTGTCAGTGAGGAAGCCTCCAATATAATGAGAACAGACCTACCCTTATGGGATTTTTGAGTTAAAAACCAGGTCTGTTGTAGTGTCTGCAGAAAAAAAAAATCCTGACCCTTGTGTAATCTCTAGAAGGTCCCAGGAAACAGCAATTTGAACAGCATTGAAAAGTGGCTTCTCTATGTAACTGAAAAAAAAAAAAAAAAAATGATCTCAGGCCCTTCATCCCATGCTGCTGCCGCCACCTCGTGGCCAATATGGGGAATTACCACCGACTCTACACCCACCCAGGGCAAAGACACCCAAGCCTCCTCCCTCCACTGTGGGCAGAAGGGAAAAGATTGTGTGGATCTATAACACAAGAGGAATGTTTCCCTTTTATATAGTGTAACCTGGGAATTTAATAATAGGCGAAAAGAGTATCTTTGGAGATGAGGGTCTTAACAGTTGTGATATGCTGGGGATTCCTCATTTTACAATCAAGAAAAAACTCCTTGAGAGAGACATCTCTGTTGCCCCTCTTGTAAATTTCTTGCATCCGAAATAAACACTATTTTCCGCCCCTGATCCAAACAAGACGGATTCCTGGACTGCATTGTCTGGAGAGGCGGATGCGAAGTGACAGCAGAGCCACCACTGACTGCACCTGCGCAAGCCCACGGGGCCCTGGGTGTTACGTCATGCCTGGGGGCTCTCAGCGTCTCTGCAGAGCCATCCGCCCACGTCCCTGCAGCGAGAGAATCCTGGCACACCTGGTGTTCCCTGTAACGTAGTTTCTCTCTGAAAACTAAGGAAAGGAGAAAGGTGTTACTCTTTATTTCTGTTGTACAGAATGCCCGTCTTCAACGCTTTTGTGAGACAGAGACATGAGGAATGTGCCAGGAGTTACAAAGGGAAAGTGGTAACACGGGAGTTAATGAACCTCTGTTTCCGCCTGTGTGCAGTGGGTGATCGCTCCCTGGTGGAGTGTGGGGAGGGACAAATGCATCGTCCTTGCCCTTTATTCCACTCCACCCCAGACCACCTCGCAGGGTCCTCTTCCCGCCTTATTCCCTTTAACTATTTAAATATTCATGTCCAGGCAATCATTTCAAACACGGATGTAGGTGAACAACCATAGGCTTATCAACTCTTCTGTCCAAAAGGAGAGGCAGGGAGGCTGTCCATAGCAGGGAGGCTATGGTAATGAGCACATATCCAGGGAAGGTTCACATGTACTAGAGGAAGCCCAGGGGGGAGGAAATGGGGATCTGGAGGGCAGAAAAGAAGAGAGGTTAAGGCAGGTGTCCAAAGCCACCTATCCGGTCAGTGACGGGGATGGGAAAGTGTGAAGAGACCTGTTTTATTGGAAAACAAACAAAAACCTGCTTGATGGCGCTGAGAGGCGCTGAATGAGAGACGGTGGTCGCACATTGCCCCCTCGTGTTCGTAAGCGTTTATTGCACCTTGACTGCATCTTGAGTTTCTATTGGGCTCAGGCTTGGTTGGTCCTACCTTACAAATGTTCTTCCCAGGTGTTTTGGGTCTTACAAGTGCTCTTCCCAACAGTCTGATGAGGACCAGTTTCAGTGTTTACCAACGTTTGCATAATGGTTGACCATATAACTCCTCAGAGGAAAAAACAATCACAGAAAAAGAGAAGTCAGCTTGGGCTCTTCTCCCTGCACACTGGCAGGGGTTAAAAAGCATACAGTTGATTATATGTCAATCATATCTCAATAAAGTAATAAAAAATTCTGGGCTTTATAGGCAGATTACTACCACATAATAGCTGTGTGTCATTGGGTGGGCTGTCAGTCAACCTGGCTGCACTCCACAGCACCACTGTGCTAGGAAGCCAGAGATGAACACAAATGACTTCAATCTCCAGTGGCTGGCAGGGGGTGGAGGATTCAGGCCACAGGAGGGCATTCTTAACACAGCACCTTAGGTGTCAGGAGAGGTAGATATTTGGACTCTTTATCTGAAACAGTAAATGACAGTGATGAAAATTCTCAAGGGACCTTTCAGTTGGGGACAGCAGTAGGTCTGAGAATGGGGTGGAGGAAAAGAGTGGTGTTCAGAGGGAGGAATTGTATAGACCAGTACAGTGTAAAGAGAGCATAACACGAAGTGCAAATTCAAGCCCCAGATATGATCTTAAAATTTCTAGTGGCTTCATTAAAAAAGTTTTTAAAAGTTTAAGAATTTTATAATACATTTTATTTAATCTTATATATCAAAATGCTATTCACATATAATTGATATCAATTGTGTGTGTGTGTGTGTGTGTGTGTGTGTGTTATGCTAGGGACTGAATCCAGGATCTTGCACACATTAAGGCAAACGCTCTGCCACTGAGCTACATCCCTCATCTTCAAAAACTGTTAATGAAAAGCAGTATGGAGATTCCTCAAGAATCTTGGAATGGAACCACCATTTGACCCAATTATCCCATTCCTTGGCATATCAATGTTTATAGCAGCTCTATTCACAGTAGCTAAGCTATGGAACCAACCTAGGTGTCCTTCAACAGATGAATGGATAAAGAAAATGTGGTACATATACACAATGGAATGTTACTCAGCCATAAAGAGTGAAATGATGGTATTTGCTGGTAAATGGATGGAACTGAAGACTATCATGCTAAGTGAAAGAAGCCAGTCCCCCCAAGCCAAAAGCCAAATGTTCTCTCTAATATGCACATGCTAACTCACATTAAGAGGGGGTAGGGAAGAATAGAAGTCCACTGGATTAGACAAAGGGGAATGAAGGGAAGGGAGGGAGTAGGAATGGGAAAGACAGTAGAATGAATCAGATATAACTTTCCTATGTTGCTATATGAATACACGACTGGTGTAACTCCACATAACGTACAACCACAAAAATGGGAAGTTATACAATGTGTATATATGATATGTTGAAATACATTCCACTGCCCTGTATAAATAAAAAGAACAACAACACCAACAAAAAGTTAATGAGCCTGGTGTGGTGGCATATGCCTGTAATCCCAGCAGCTTGGGAGGCTGAGGCAGAACGATCACCAGTTTGAGGCCAACCTCAGCAACTTTGCGGGGCCCTAAGCAACTTAGCGAGACCTTGTGTCAAAATAAAAAATAAAAAGGGCTGGGGATGTGGCTCAGTGGTTAAATGTCCCTGGGTTCAATCCCTGGCACCAAAAAAAAAAAAAAAAAAAGAAAAGAAAGAAATTGTTAATGAGATATTTTGCTTTTTTTTTTTTTTCTAATACTAGGTCTTTGCAGCACATCTCAATTGGACTAGCCAAATTTCAAATGGGATACCTAAATGGTCTGTGGCTGTGGCTGTCATATTGGATGGTGCTGCTATAACATGTTCTACTGGGTTTTAAAGAATCATGTTGGCATGGAAGAGGGACAACACTTTTATGTAGTTCACCAACCCTTTGCTTGAGCTGGAGGTACATCATACTGGCTGCTGCCTGTTTGGCTCAAGGAGACACTGACCCAGGAGGTTCAGAGATCACCTGTTTCAGAATTATCTAGGCTTCCTCTTAAACAAAACAAAACTGAACAAACAAACAAAAAACTCAGATTTCTCAATCCTATCCTGTCCCAAAGATTACAGGCCAAGAACTTGCATTTTAAATAAGATTCTCAAGTGAATTTTCAGGTCCAAACGCTTCTTTTTTTTCCAGTGTGGACAATGCATTGTTTTGAAGGGCAAAACGATATATCTTCCTGTTTTTTCCTGTGTCTCCTTTTAGACAGTGTGGCTGAAACAAAGGTGGTGGGGTGAGGAGGGAGTTAATAATTATGGAGTGGGCATGACTATCTTGCCAGGTTTTCCTATTTCGATTTTCTTCACCTGGAATTGAGACTTGGCTGTGCTCAATCACTTACGCCAACATGCAGCATTCTCCTCCGGCCCACACAGCGTGGTGCAGGCAGACAAAGTAAATTTTTCCACCAGATCAGAGAAGGCGATACTTACCACCAGTGGAAAACCAGCCTGTGGCCCATCCAAGACTGTGAGTACCCCAATCCCAGATCCTCACAATGTTCCCTCACCTTGCCTCATCTCCTCCACCAGAGGAGGCAAAAGGAGGAATTTCTTCTTATCTAATTTATATCCTTTAAAATTTGTGTGTTGGGAATTGTCTTCTATGTGACAGTGCAACAGAGGTGGGTCTCAGGGAGAAAGGCGCTGTCCTCATGATTGGGTTAATGCTACTGGAAAATACCTGGATTTCAAGATTCATTCCTTTTTATTCTCCTGCCATGTTGATGACATGGTTCCTCCCCAACAGAGTGCACTGCATGAAGGCCCTTGCCAGACACCAGTTGCGAGTACCTTGATCCTGGCATTTCCAAATTCCAAAATTCTGAAAAAAATACATGTGTTCTTTATGAATTACCCAGTCTCAGGTATTCTGTTAGAACAACACAAAACAGGCTAAGATACTAGTCTGCTCTCTGATTATTGTCTCCCTCCCTCAGAACCTCCTTCTATGAAAGCTCTGTGTGTAAAGACAGACAAGAGACACAGTAGTGCTATAGAAGCAAAGCTGTCAGAAATCAAGACATTTCATATTTAAAACTAGTAACCTCGCTCTCAGGATAATGCGTGTTTTTGATACTAAATACTAAGCTATTTATTCTGTGAAGGATTCCTAGGTACATCAATCTTATCAATATAGCTACTGCTATATCCCAGCACATATGTAAGAAAAGAGAATCTCAGAATTTTAGTAACTTTTCCAAAATCACACAGCAGCAAGTGCATAGTGGAAACAAAACACTGTTAGACCCCAAAAGATGGGAGAGGAAAGAGCAATGAATGGAGAGACATGAAACAGGGGTTCCATTCTATTCCCTTTGGGGATCACTAACCAAGTGACTTAATGTACATATTTTATTTTTTTGGAACCTAAGTTTCTTTCCATGAAAATTGAACACTTGAGCTAGATGGAATTGATCTTCTCTCTCTCCTTTTTTTTGGTGGGGGGGGGGACTGTTTATTTATCTGTTTATTTTATGTTAAGTTTCCTGGAAAACAGACTCAGACCCTGAGCACTTCATGCAAAACTAGTAACTAGTATTTATTGGAGAATGCTCTTGAATGATGTCAAAAGCAATAATCGGCAGAGGGAGAAGTTGAACCTTGATACAATTTTAATAAAAGTCTATAGGGGGTTCTGAACCTGAGAATTATACTCACTGAGGCAAGGGAGCCAGATCTTTGTGTCCCTAGAAAGACTAGACATGAGTATAGGCTGCCCCCAGGATGGGGGAGTAACCTTGGGAAATTCTTTTTTTTTTTTTTAGCTTATGGTAATTCAGGAAAGGAACTCACCTGTAAGCCATCACTACCCCCAACACTCTCAGCACCAGGGAGATTGGGTGTCCCCAATTAGAAGAAGGGGTTTGGTGTTGTCCTTCTCGGATGCTTTTCTATATCATTTACTTTGCCCACTGAGTTCCATCCACCTCTAGAAGCAGCTGCTACAGGATTCTCCGACTGATCTAGTTTCTTGCAGAAACTTGCAAGAGGAAGAAAGCTAGTGGAAGGAACTACACCCCAACCACAGGAGTCTTAAGTCTGCAACATATACTCACCTCATATAGCCCCCTCCTCTGCTACCCATTCTAGATGATCCTCATCCTTGGCTAGCATTTCTGCTTGTGGCATCCTTGATCCCTTCCATTGAGGTCTGAGTTCCTCATGCCATGGCACCAACTATGGTTGCTATACTTGTCTAATTTGAGCTGGAGAGAACACAGGGATATCTCACTGGATCACTTGGGGGTCACATTTATTTCTTGTCCTTCTGTGTAACAGGAGCTGAATCTCTTCTTAATGACCAGCTCAATTATATCTGCAACTATGGTGATTCCTTCCTTGACTGCCAAACTCTTGCTACCAGGGGCCTTAAGTAACCAGGCTTCAGACAGCCTTACAGTTGAATGGAACACTTGCCACATTTCTCTTGATCCCTGTCTGAGAATCAGGGTTTCTAGTTATGTAGAACCTAGAGTTTTAGGACTGACAAGCACAGATTTTCCAAGTGGATCATTGAGAACAATGATGAGCTGGATAATTTCTATTTCAATCTCTTCATTCATAGACTATAAATACCGTACTTCCTTGGTCACAACTTCTTGGTCTGATGCAATGTCATGTGGAATCTCATGTCAAGAAGTCCTATAATCTTCAAACTTATGGTCGTGTTATAGGCAAGAAAGGCAAACCTATACCCAGAATATTTCTTTTGGTCAAGATGAATCTCTATCAAGTCAATGGTGAAAATCATCCCAAGTAGGTAGTTGCTCATAGAGAGAAATGTCTCAGCATTGATGCCTCTTGCTGGAATATTAGTCACAAGGCAGCAGTAGTAGCTCATCAGCTTTGGGGCATGGAAACCTAGCTGTGTGACTCATGCACAGCTTCCGTCTCTACTATTCTGAAAACATTGTTCATGAGCTCTTTGCATAGATGTGATGGGCCCATGACAGGCTGACTGCTGTCAATTGTTAAGGTCATTCTATCTACTAGTTGTTTACTGGCTGTCCTGTGGTGGTTGCTTTCTCTAAGCATTAAAATATGATGGAGGAAACTTCATACTTGTGCCTACCACATACCAATTCTACAGATATCCTTATTCCGGATATTCCAGTCTTTCTTTTCTCAGGGCCATGATCAACAGCCACGTCATTCCCTATAGCCCACATGTCCATGCTTATTCTTACCTCTAATTGCTTCTCTTTCCACACAGTGGGAATGACCACCTGTACTACTCAATTCTCTTGGGAGGAGTTAGCCTCAATAGCAACTCTCAGAACCACCATCTGCATCAAGCGGTGTTTCAAAAGAGTGCAATTTTAACATGTACCCACACACTTGCCAACTACTTTTCAACTAGTACACACTTCTCTACTGCAGAGAGTCAGGTTTTTATCCAGAAACTTAGGCACATAGGTTGTGAGTTTCCCATCAGAACTCACTTCAAACTCTACAGAATGATATCTTTTCCACCACAAATATCAGTAAAACCACAGGGTCTTTGATGCCATAAAGACCAAGTGGAAGAACTGTTTGAATTGAAGTCAGTCTATTAAAGAGTCCTGATGTGTTCTTGATAGGAAGAGCAATGTCTTGTGTTTCAGAATCAGCATGTCAATGAGGCAAAGATGGCTTCTATATTTAAGTATCTCTTATAGTAAGCCTTGTCTACAGAGGAAAGTCACCACTGATCTGAATAGTATTTTTTCCAACTTGTCAATAAAATGGTTGTTCCCCTGGAACGTAGTTTTGGCTGGTAGATTTCTAACTTTATGTAGTCTACCTGTGATTGTATGTCCAAATCTCTGAGCATTTTGTACCCTTTCTCCACCATTGACCCCAAAATCCAAGTGTAACATGCTAAAGCTCTCAAGGGTTATCCAACAGTGTGTAATCTTTATCTGCCAGGGAACTTGTTACAATGTTAAGTCTTATATTGTAGGACAGTGTGTACATACAGAGGGAGGGACTCTTCCTTATCCCTCTTGATCCAGTAGCCTCGGATCCAGGTTTAGATATACTTTCCTCGTTTCTATTTGCACATGTTGATTAGATCCTATAGCTCCTCCAAGATTGTTCGTTATTCTTACTGCATGACTGTTGTGGGCTGTTTGAAATAAATAACTGGGTCAGTCTTGAAGCCGGGCATGGAACTTTATTCACAGGCAGTCTGAAAGGGCAGCAAACAAGTTGCCTTGGCACCCCTCAAACCCCACCACAAGTTAGAGCACACTCTTTGTAGCCCCAAACCATAAGTAAAGTACGTTAAAACCATTGCAACATAGGAAGTGGGTCAGAAGGACCCAGTTCAGGGTACAGCCAGAGTACATTGTCAAAGAAAAATGGAAACTAAAAAGAGAACATCTTACAAAAGCATTTCTTAATAATACATTGTATAAGAATAAAAGAAATATTTTTCAAGTACTATGCATTGCCAAACAGGGTGTGCTTAGCAGGAGTTGGGTTAGAGAGGTGGGGTTTTCACATGGGAGAAACATTTCTTATATGAAATAGAGTCAGGATACAATGGAGTTTTTCTGGGGAAGGCAGATATAGTTTGGCCCACAACATGACAAATCATTCTAAAAGCAGTGTAGTGAAACAACAGTCTATTATTATTATTATTATTATTATTATTATTATTATTATTATTTCTCCACAGTTATAGAAGTTGACTGGGCTTAGCTGAGCAGTTCTTACTCTAGCTCTCTCATGTGGCCAAAGTCAGACACAGACTAGGACTAGATTCTTGGTTTTAATTCTTGCATTATGGGAGTCTCATTAAGGAAGTTGGGGCCTAATCCCACATGATGGAGATTTGGTGTGACCCTATGATTTTTTGCATTGTGTGTTTCTTCCATTAGGCATAAGGTCTCTGGTTTAATTCCTAGGTCCTTGATCCACTTTAAGTTGAGTTTTGTGCATGGTAAGAGACAGATATTTAGTTTCATTTTGTTACATGTGGATTTCCTGTTTTCCGAGCTCTATTTGTTGAAGAGGCTATCTTTTCTCCAGTGTACGTTTTTGGCACCTTTGTATAATATAACTGTAGCTGGTGCAGCCAATCTGGAAAGCAGTATGGAGATTCCTTGGAAAACTTGGAATTGAACCACCATTTGACCCAGCTCTTCCACTCCTCGGTTTATACCCAGAGGACTTAAAAACAGCATACTACAAGGGACACAGCCACAGCAATGTTTATAGCAGCACAATTCATAAATTGTGGAACTAACCCAGCTGCCCTTCAGTAGAAGAATGGACACACACACACACACACACACACACACACAATGGAACACTACTCAGCATTAAAAGAGAATAAAATCATGGCATTTGTAGGTAAATGGGTGGAGTTAGAGAATATAATGCTAAGTGAAGTAAGCCAATCCCAGAAAACCAAAGGTCAAATGTTTTCTTTGATAGGAGGATGCTGACTCATAATGGTAATGGGGGTGGGGAGCATGGGAG